TTAACATATCCGAATCATGTCCATGATTTTTTTGTGTTCATATTGCTAATGTGACAAAAGTCACCAAGTGTAATCTCATTCCGATGAAGCTAAGATTTTTACAATTTCAAAATATAAATTTATGGCCAGAGGGTTAATAAGCTTTCTCAGCATAACGTTACCTGTCTTTCCTACATCTCTGTCAGCAGCTTCCTTCAGAAATGTAGATGTCTTGGAGCTTCTCTTCTGTTTTAGAAAGGTTACTCCTGAAACCACAGAACAATTTTTTTATCAATAATTGTTTAACTTTGCCATGAAAGATCAAATCACAATTTAACTAGATTCAGTTAATCCACGCTCCTTTAAGTGACGTCACCGATTAACAGTACAGCGCATATTTTTAGGCTAAATAAATTAGCCTAATTCCAATACCTCATTGACGAAACATTTACAAAGCTTTCAAAACCTGCCGTCTACACATAAAGATGTGATTAAAAGTCAAAACTTTCATAAATAAGAGCTCAATATAGAGTCAGCATGCCTCGTCTGAAATCAGTTGAGATGCTAACGGAAACACTAAACCATTTTTATGAAGTAAGTATTCAACAGAAGCGTGTCAATCACAAGTAAGAAAAGTGTCAGGAACAGTTTTATGTAATATCTGTGTGATTTTTGGGACTAAACACCTGAAAACAGTGAAAACGGCGAAAACAGCAGCGAGGGACGTGTTGCAGCTTATCAGCGGGAGTGTAGCGCCCCGTTTCCATGGTAACTCCCTCCGCTGCAGGGTTTGAATCTCAGACTGTATGGTTTGAATGCGACTCAGCGAGCACCCATTAAAACACACCACAGTCACGCAGCATTTACATAAATAAACATATAGAAGTTGAACGTAAACTAAAAAAATATTATTACATTTTGAATTTTAACCCGCACGTGATAGTAGGACAAAGTGGCACTTTTATTTTTATTTTATTTTTGTATATTTTTATTTTTATAAGATTTTGTATTGTTGTTTTTAGGAACATTCAAACAATTTATTTTCATTTAAAAACGTGCTTTTTTATACTAAACTTTTGCTAATAATTATAACTCTCACTTTTATTCAGCGGAGCAGTGGAACTGTAAAACATAAACGTAAAAAATATTTATAAAACAAAGATGCCATAAGAGCTCAGTAGAAACCTTTTTTACAGTCTATGGTAGAAACACAGGACCCTCCGCTTGCCACTGGTGTACCGACGGAGGCCCAGCCGCGGCAAACCGCTGGTGGCGTGCTACCCAAAAACGCCAGCAGACCGACAGCAGTTTTTAGAATGGTCGGCTTGCCGACGGTGGTCCGACCGTGTTAAGCCGCTGAATTTGAGCCGTCCAAAAAACGCTGGCGGACCGCCAGGTCATTGTTTGCTGGGACATTTAGAGCAGGCAGTAAGTAGGTCTATGTGAGGAAAACATACGGAGTTCATTAAGAACTGAGCGATTTTATGTTTTGTTTTGTATGTTCGTGTAGACGATTGTTTCGATGTTTGCAGTGATGATGTGGTTTTTACAGTTAATCCCATGTCCAGCAAATAAATACACACACGGTCGGGACAAGGCATATTA